TAACTGCATAAATATAGGAACGGAATGCTGAAAACTACACAAAGCTGTTGAACAACACCATGGAAGATCTTAACAGTTCAAGGCCAGGAAAACTCAGCGCAGCAAGGATATTATTTCTCCCCAAGTTCATATACAGGTTCCGAATAAGTCCTATTAAAATTTTATCAACTTTTGGTAGCTAAAATTATCCTGAATTTGCTATGGAAAGTAAAAAAAACAAAAACACAAAACACCTAGATTCACTAAAAGAGAAAAAAAGGAGACTAAAGTGGAGCAACCAGTCTACCTGACTTCAAAGCTAATTATAGAGCCACAGTAACGAAAAATGTAGGCTATAAGAATCAAACCCAAACTGAGAAAAAGACTCAGAAATTTGTCCAGGTAGTTCTTATAATGAAAGCAATTTAATGAAGGAAATACAGACTTTCAACAAATTGTTCTGGAGAAATTAGGTAAATAAAGAAGAGCAGAGTAAAAGAGCGGTGACAAAGGGGGAAAAAAAAGGAGACTGGGTAGAGAGGAAGGGAAGAAAGAGGAGGGCAGGGGAGGTGGACAGGAAGAGAGGGAGAAGGAAGGAAAGGAAAAGAAATCACCACTTAAGTATCATACTAAAAGGAAGTGGAAGAGATAGTAGATTTGAGTGTAAATATAAAAAGGTAGGTGGCAGGGTTTGGAGGGAGAAGGGGGAAATGACTTAACAAGGCAGAAAAAGTGGTTACAACTATAAAGGAGAAGAGGAATTCTTATGATAGAAATGCTTGACATGTTGACCACATCAATGTCAAAATTATGGTTGTCATCATACAGTCATTTTGCAAGACTGGCACCGGTAGAGAGAAGTGGAGAAAAGGTATATGACTTTTTTTTTTCTAAATTCTTACAACTACATGTGAAACTACAACTAACTCAAAAGTAAAAGTTGACTTAAAAAGAAACTAGGAAAACAGTTGGTTCCAATTTCAGTATGCATTTAAATCTAAACAAGAAAGCAAATTTCAGTGTACAAAAAGAGAAGAGAAAACTGAAGACCAGAACTGAATGGAAGTCACACCTGAATGGCTCCGGGGACCCACTAGCATCTCTTCCCCAGCAAGGTCTGGAATTGAGGCAAGAATTGACCAAGGTAAGATCTGCACTCATTTTAATAAGGTTGTATCTAAGAAAGGCTGTGACCAGAAATTAAATAACCCTTATTGGCTGGAAAAAAATTTACTTACCAAGATACTAAGTAAAAAAGATAAATAAACAAAGGTATTGATAAAAAGTAGACTGCCCATAAAATCGTAAGCCCATTTCTGTGTGGTATGAGTATGGAATAAGACCCTTTTAGTGTCCTTCCAGTAGAGAAATATGAACTGAAATACAACAGACTGATTTGGAACCAATCGTAAGGCCCCTGCCAGCAGCGAACCCCAAACCATGCCCACTGGGATTCTAACTCTTACTGCAGCTGAGTCAGAGTATAACTGATTCAAAGATTGCTTTCTCCATCAAACAGCTTAGAAAAGAACAAATCCACCAAGCTTTTCAAGCAAAACGAACTCCACCACTTCATAGCTTATGAACATTTTTGTGGAGGTGGGATGGTGATCATGATTGACAGCGTCTACTCAGCAGAGGTTGTGGCCTAACTCAGTCTGGACACAGCTTCCAAAGTGAGGGGGGCCTGAGCTCTGTGAAAGAATGCTGCCCACAGCTTTCTATGAGTGACTTTCTGAAGATCTTCACTTTGAAACCATTTAGCTCTGCTCCAAAGAAGCAGAGACCATGGTGGAATGCTGCTCACTGGATTGTGCCCACTGCGTGCTCAGGACTATCTATTTAGAAATAGTCTCACCAGTAATGTGTTGGGTCCTCAGCCATCAATCAACAATCACAAAAATTCTCCACAGAAATTCCCATAGGCCAGTCTGATGAGGAGCAATTCTTTAATTGAGGTTTCCTTTCTTTGTATCCTTGTTTGTGTGAAGTTGAAACTAATTGACATACCACAGAAATGGCCCATTCCCAAGAAAGACTTCCCCACTGCTAACTCAGCTCCTGGAAGGGTATGTCCTAAGTCTTTCACCCCATAAATGATAAACCTCAGTGTGGGGTCATCCCTGTGTGAAAGAGAGGACAAATATTCCAAAGGTCAGATTGCAGGCGTGTGGGTCAGGAAAGTCAGACCCAAGTCCATCTACTTCCTTCTGCCCAGGACGACTCTAAGTGGGCATTGTTGAATTTTTTCACATTATCTCACAAACTTAAAGCCAGTCAGCCGTGTGCTTACCTGACTTTTGGTATCATTTCATAGACGTCCATTAATTGCTCAGTTATACGTGAGAATTCCAAAACAATCTGAGCAGAGTGCTTCTGACAAAACTATTCAAATGCTTTGGCTCTGAAAGGGAAAAGCTTTGTCATCTTGACTACCTCTTTGGCCTCCTGTATTTAGCATGAACCAGAAATCTGATTCTCAAAATGCCTACATGGTGGTATTTATTCACCGCTCCTCGGACACTTGGAAGTTGAAAGGGTTTTAGCATTTGATCCCGAAGGCAGGAATAAGACTCAGTATGCAAAATTCCCTTGAAAAACATGAGATGAAAGTAGGGACAACTTAGAGCAGCAGTTCTTGCCCCAGACTGCTGGTTGGAGTCCCCTGGGGAGAACAACTGCTTGACTGCTGGCCAATACTGCTAATTAAGACCCGTGTACAACACTCATCCGGAAGACTTCACAAAAGCCTGGCTCTGCTATGAGAACAACCAAATCAAACACCACAGACACAAAATGCCAGGCAATGGACACGCTTTCTTTATTTCATTAAGATTTGGTCTGAGGGTCTTTTCTGAGACTGACATGCAACCAAGGACCATGTATGAATATAACCTAGAACCTCTGCTCAGATGTAGCCTGTGGTAGCTCAGTAACCAATTGGTTTCCCATAGTGAGGGGAACAAGGACTATTTCTAACAGGAACTCAATGACTAGCTCTTTGGCCTCCCCACCCCCCAAGGGAGGAGCAGTTCTGTTAGGCCACAGAGGAGAGCTTTGCAGCCAGTCCTGAAGATACCTGTTAAAACAGGATCAGATGAATGGGGAGGAGGTCCCCCCTATTAGTGGACTTGGCAAGGGGCACGGTGGAGATGAGGGAGGGAGGGAGGGACTGGGAGGGAATGAGGGATCGGGACACGGCTGGGTTACAGAGTTAATAAAATGTAACTGATAAGAAAAAATAAAATTCAAAAAAAAAAAAAAGATTTGGTCTGTACACAAAGAAATGGGACCTTTTCATACCTGTCCAAAGAGCTCTCAGGTGATCCTAACGTTGACCCAGGGTTCAAGGCCAATGCTCCAGATTTCCATGAACATGAGTCCCAAAGAACAGGCTAGCTCTGCATCTCAAACAGGCAAATCTGTGGTTTTATTAGCTACTTGACAAGTTGATTGGCCAAAGTATGCAGATAGAAAGTTCTAAATTATGTAGAACAGAAATTCTCAGTGAAGGGAAAGTCATCTGAAGACAGAGCAAATGCTTTCTGCAAGCATGCTGATGCACAGATGATTTTGTTTGGCAAACCTCAGAGCTACCATAACCCTGAAGCCTCTGAGACATCTTCCTTTGTGGAGAACCTTCATGAAATAGCAGGTCACCATAGTGTAGCACTGCCTGCTCTAAGCTTGTTTTACCACCGTGTCTAATTTATAGAGAAGGAGGAGGAAGGGAGGAAGGGGAGGAGGAAAAAGAAAGAGGAAGGAGGAGGAGGGATGGAAGCAGGGGAAGAAGGGAGGAGGAAAATAAGAAGGAGGAAGAGGAAGACCAGCAGCAGCAGCAGACCCACTGACAGCCCAGGTCCACACAAGAAGTCTGATGACCATGAGCATATAGTCAGCTAGTCATATACTGTGAGTGCTGGCAGCCCCTCCACTCAGCCTGAGTGGTACCTAAGCCATTTCTCATGCAGTACCTCGTAGGGCTGTCACCATGGCTTCAGCTAGAAGTAAACGTTTGGGTAAAAGAATCAATCGTTTTCATTCTTGCATTGCCTACTAGTAACAGAGACTGAACCCAGGGCCTCAAATATGCTAGGCCAGTGCTCTATATGTAACCCTACAGCCCCACAATGCGTAAATGCGGGTTTGTTTCTTGTTTGCAAACAAACTTTATCACATTTTGAGATGCACTCTATAAGAGTGGGAATGCACATTTAGATTAACCTGTACAAGAAACCTACTCAGCCCTTCCAAGCAAATCTCTTCTTAGATTTAGCTGTATGTTAATTCACTTGATCCTTAGAATGCTCTACAACTCTAGCCAGAGGACTTTTTCCATGTCACATGGTATTTTCAGCTTTCGGAGCTATATGTCCCAACTGCCCACTTCTGCCGTGTAGTTTAAAAGTGGCCACAGATGTCATGTAAGCAGTTGGATATAAATGTGTTTCAGTAAAACTTCACTAAAATAAGAGACTGTTTCATTGGTTTCAGTCCCTTCTCTGAGCCTATTTTCTCATTGAAGCCTGCATATTACAGGTGAAAAAACAGAAGCACAACTAAATTTACTGATAGTTCAGGGTCCTACAGGGAGTCTGATTATCAAGTACATATACTCAACTGTTACATTCTAACAGCCACAATCAATATTAGTAACATTCCTGCTCAGTCTAAATAAGAGTTTCCTAATTGAAGGCAAGACAGAGCATCAACCAGCAAGTAATCCTTCAGGCTTCCCCAGAAACTAAAGACCAACTCAAACCCTGCTTCTGTTTTTCTAGTTTTCTTCCAAGCTGTTCTTTATGCCTCCTGGGGACCTCTGTCCCCTCTCCCCTCATTCTCTGCACCTCACAATTGCCTGAAGTTTACCAGCATCTACGTTCCCAGCTCCTTTGGAAGCTGGGATTGCCCTCAGCACAGGACTCAACTGGCGTATCTCCAGTTCCCTGGGAGCCTGTTAATATGGGGTTAACAGGCTGAGGCATGGGGCAGAAGAGGGAGACAAAGGGACAGATACTCACCAGTCCTTGGCAGGCACTGAGGGCTGCTGTCCCCAACGGGGTGCCCTGATGCAGAACTGTGCCCCTGAGATGGCAGGGCGGGCCTGAGGAAACTTCCATCCTAACATGGGAAAGGTTCCCAGATCTCCTCTCCACAATATAGCCATTAGAAAGAAATTCCCAGTTGACTGTCAGATTAAAAAACAGGTCTTTTTCTTCATGTGGAATTCGGTAGTACACCCGGTCCTCCGAGGCTACAGCAGCTCTCTTCCTCCTGCTGCTGGTGACAGGGTGATGCAGACCATAGGACAGAAAATGTCCACTGGCGTCTACTTGAACTGGACTCACCACATGGTAATTTGTCAGGGCCTTGATAAAATGTTCTGCAAGGAAAGGAAACAGAATAAAACTCAGAGACCCAAGTTGCAAAACCCACCGAGTTAAAGCTTTGAGACTGTTCCCACATTGCTATTACTGTCAACCCAGTTGTCCCTGGGCAACTAAGAGGTGCACAACATCTGTCCTCAGTGGTGTGTGGCAGCCTGAGATGACCCACAGTAGAACTTTGCCATTCTATCACAGACAAGCCTTAATGCAAGAGAAATACTCTGAGGAAAAAACGCAGGATTGGCATGCCGAATAGGACGTTGCCAGGATATGGTTCACTGATGTGAAATGCAGAGCTTCACAGTTTAAAGACAAGGTACTTAAGCCTTCAAGAACTTTCTGCTATGAACATCAGGTTACAAAAACATCTAAACACACATCACACATGACCCTTCATGAACATCAACAAACCTCACACTTATGATAGTGTCAGAGTTATTATTTGAGAACATCAACATACTGAGATGTAGAGGGATTCCAATGGGGACAGCTGCTCCTGCAGCACAACAGAAAACTCACCTTGACTAGCCCAAATTTAATCCTTTTCAGAAAAACAAAAAAGAGGGGAGGAAAGAGAGAAGACAGAGAAAGCAAGGAAGTGGGAAACAGGAAATTGTTCTGGTTGATCTGGAGCTACCATGCATTGGTTGTCCTGCCTCCCAACTCTCGATATCTTTATTGTTCTACAAGCAAATGCTCATGTATCCAAAATGACGTTTGTGAGCCTTTCCTTCCAAATTACCCCCAATTGAATAATAAAGTTGCCTACAAACTAGACTGGGCAGAAGAGAGGTTGACAGAGCTGAGAACTGTAGAGTTGCAGAAGGACCACAAGGGAGAGAGAGAGGAGGAGGAAGGAGCAGGTTGCTATGGGTTTGTATGCATTAGAAGCATGCGGCCTGCAGGAGCTGCTCTGAGGACTGATATGATGGAGAGAAGCAGCCCAAATGGACCATGTGGAAGTATTTATGGGGGTTTGGGCTGGGAAGTAGATAAGTTAGCTTAGTTCAGTTAAGTGCATGAAGATCAACCTCTAGCATCTATGTAAAATTGCTGGTTTGGTGGTGTCCACTCATTATCCTAACACTGGGGAGAAAGAGACCTGAATATTCCTGGGGTTCCTTAGGAAACCTTAATTGATGAGTTCTGGCCCAACAAAAGATGCTGCTGTGATTTAGATAAACCTCTATTTTGTATAAATCAGCCAGTTCAGGTATTTTGTGACAGAAACAGAAAATGAACTAATACACTTTTCTTGGTTTCCGCTTCCATTTAAGACAAAAAGAGAGGCCTGGATTTACACCTGAGCTCAGAGCACTCTTCTAAGTTCTGTCCTCACTGCCTCTTGGGCGTCTAGTACAACCAAATATCCACTTGGTATCATTTAGACTGGGGGAAAGGCAATTGTCTGAGAGAGAATATAACTATCTCACAACCTACACAGGGATTTGTGGAAACAAATGATAAGCCTTGGTTAAAATTAGATTTGCAAACCTAAACCCTGAGCTTCAGTTACTTGCTTCAGTATAGTAAAGAAACTTCATGAGAAATTCCAAGAGCATCCCATGGATACACACCATTTTGAAAAGGCACAACACCAAGCAATCATTTGCCTTCAGCTTAGGGAGAAAAGTGGACTATGATAGAATTTTGACTTGTTCCCATAAAGTTTAGGTTAAATCTATATGCTATGATTTCGGGACGAACCCATGAATCAGTGCATCGTCTCTGCTTAGCGACCATGCTCATCTTTTCTGTAGAGCTCCAATTTTCCCGTGAATGCTTCCACACGTAGAGGGCAGACACCTATATTTATTCTCAGTTGTTTCTATTAGTAGTAGCTTAATTTCTTAAATTCTTCGTTTAAAAAGCTGTCGAAAGTCTTATAGTAGCAGTTTATTTCCATAATGATCTCCCACAGGTTGTTCTGGCTGTATGAGTATTTAATTATAGAAATTAACGTCCACTGATAGGTCCTCTCCAAACTGTGAAGTATACCATAGTAGGCCCTCTTTGTTTAGTAACCATTTAGTGGTGTAACTAGTGGCCAGACAATTTATCATAAACAACACAAAGCGGTGTAATTGTGAAATCTCTTCCTACAGTACAAATACTAGAATAATCTTTTTGTGGCTTGTTTCCACATAGCAGAACTGAGCTATACGAGTTTTCCTCCTTGATCTTCTACAAGTCTGTGTACCCACAGCCCATCTCCAACAGGAGATAAAGTGAGCATCCCACAGATGTCACAGTGTCACAGAGAGCAGACCAGAGCATGGAAGTGACCAGTGCTTTGTAGACAGCATAGATACCTTTTGACCTGCAATGGCCTGATTTCTGGTTTTCTCACTCTATAACTTTATAAAAGCAACAATTAACTTTGAGTTTTGATCTTTTCTTAGATCAGAGATATTGGGTGTGCCACTCTTATGGTGCTGGGTAGTAGTAGTGAGATAATGAAGCCAGTTAGCCACCTGATCACAAGGGCAACCACACATGATCTACATTAAAGCACTGCTAAGCTGTGATGTGGGTGTGTTGAGTGTGTTGAGGGGTATTTTAAACAACAGTTCAACTTCTGGCGGACTTACTGGCAAGTGACCATATCACATTTCAGGAAGTAACTGTGCAGAGAAAGCTAAGTTCAGGGGTCATTATTGGCCTTAGAAAAGAGCCAGCATGTTTGTGCAAGCCCAGAGTCTTATTATTTTGATATTTGGTTGTACATCAAGAAACCCTGGAGAAGTCACAACACATCCTTACACCAAATGACTGATATAGGAAGAGGGTTGTGCAGAAGTACTCTAATCTGTCCTGGAAAGGATTAGGATTGCCACCATACTCTTTCTGGGAACAAAAACCTTTCCTTATTTATGTCTTGTGATGCTGGAACCCAGGGTCTTGTATATGCTAAGCAAATGCTCTAGGACTGAACTATAGCCCAGCAAAGAACTAATGCCATGATTCTGTGCAAACCTGAGAACTAGAAAGAACGTGCAAAGTTAGCTAGTGTATAGACCCCTTTCCAACTGTTAAGCTTCCCCACAACTCCTTTCAACCCTCTGGCTAAGTAGAATTTCATAAGTGTTCAATACAGGCGTGTAAATGCATCAGTTTCTGAAAATAAGGATAAGTGGGATAATCTCTGAATTTGCAACTCTGAATATTTAACATTTGGGTGCAATTCAAAAATCCTGTCAGAGCAGAAATGGAAGGTCATCTAGGCTTCAAACCCAGGTCTACTCCCAGGAAGCTTTAGAATGTCTTGTCATTTTCCCTCTCCACTCTTGTTCCCTTCACCCTCTTCTCCTCTCCTCCCCCTTCTCTTTCTCCTCTCCTCTATTATCCTCTCTTCTCCCCTTCCCTTCCCTCCTCTTTCTCCCCACTTCTTCCCCCTTCCTCTCTTGCTCTCTTTCTATCTCTTTCCTTCCCTCTTCTTCCTTCTGTCCTCCCTACTCCTCTCCCCACCCCTTCTCTTTTCTCCCCTTCCTGTTCCCTCCTTCCTGCCCTCTGGCTTTTCTTCCTCTCTTCCTCAGTTCTAATGGAAATCCACCTGGATTTCTTCTTGGCATAAAGAATGAATTACTTGTAAATGCATTAATGAAGATTGACTACAAAATTAATGCTTTTAAAAACTAAAAGCATTTTCAATCTACATACCTTTGCACATTTAATGAGCTCAGTGAACTTTAAAGCTACTTTTGAATATAAAATATTCTCAGCATCTCTTGAAAGGTCACTAGGGAAAAGAGTCATATCCAGAGGAACAAGACAGGCCCAGCAGTGTCTGCTCTGCACCAGGATGAATTTTCCCTTACAAATATGCGAAACAAGCAGCGCTGGAAAACTAAGCCAGGAGAATGTGTCTTTGAAGGAAATCATCTCCACATGCTCTGGGAAGGGCTGGCGAGCTTTGTTTGTGCTGCCCCAGAACAGGGACCTTCCACAAAGGCACTGTTTTTCAAAGAACAACAAAAGCTGCTATTTTAAACTTGGGGGCTCGCGATTGTATCTGGACCGTTTACACAAGCAAGTGCTGGCTGATTGACATCTAACCCCAGTGTTTGCCCACTCTGGCTTCCAAGTAAAGCAAAGGGAGGGTGGGATTTGCATCTGGTTGCTCTCTAAGCCACCCCAGAGGAATTCTTCAGCAGCATTTGACTCTGCAGCGTGGGCAAAATACACTGCCTAGCAGTACCTTAAACGCGGACAAGAGTGTGAGCGAGCGTGCCTGTGTTGTGAGTATCCCCGCTACTGCTGTGATTTTTAAGTTGGATACCGGGTTCAAAACCGTGTTTCACACTTACGAAGCCCATGAGGTCCACAAATTCCAGTTTCCCTCTTTGTAAACTAGGCATGGTAGTAGCCGTAGTACTGGAACCCCAGCACGTTCAGCAGCGGGAGGGGCTGACAGGCCATCACTGTGCTCCCACACTCCTCCACACCCCTCTGCTCCAGCAGTGCCACCCCTCAGCTGCAGTCATCCCTGAATTGGAAACTCTTCTAAGTTCAACAAAGAGACAGCAGCAACAGCACCGCTTTGCCCTGGGTGTGAGGGCATAACAACAATAATAATAATCGCCACAGTTACACGACCTATCCTCACGGCCCCCCCAGTGCTTGCTCTCAGAACACAGGCATGGGTCACTCAATTTTTTCTCAATTCAGAGAAAAGTCTGCAAAGCAGGACAGAGAACCCCGAGGCCCGGGAGGTAAATTTCTCCCCAATAAGGATGTCATTTGAAAAAAACAAAACCCTAAATCTTTCCAGGAAACCAAAACACAGCTAAGTGTGATCAGCAGGGGGGCCGGAATAAAATTTCTACCTTCCAGACCGGAGTTTAACATTTAGGAAACATTGCAAATGACTGCCTGCCCGTGACCAGCTGGGTCTCTTTAATAAAAATAATTTTCCATGTCAGAATCTGCAAAGGGGGAGCTGAAACCGGTGGGGCGCGGGGGAGGGGGAGCGTGCTCTTGGGTCTTTCAAAGCAGGGAGTCACCCCCCAGTGGGCAGGGAAATAGCTTTAAGCCCCAGGACAGAAGGAAGTCCAGAGCCTGAGCCCACAGCCCAGTTTTCTTTAGAAGGGCCAGAAGGCTTAGAGTTCAGCCTGGTGGGGGAAGGGGACAGACCAAATACTACTGTCCTACCACCGGTGTGTGAAAACCAAATAAAGAAAAGCCACTAACCTTGCCTCGGGTCTGGGAAGCGAACCGGGCGGGGCTGAGTTTGTCTCCCGTGGCAAAAAGCCCCAAAGTTAAGGATCTGAGCCACCATTGAGAGCTTTGCCAGCCAGCTCCTCTGAGCACATGGCATGGTTCAGTTGTTGGGGAGAAGAAAAGTCAAAAAAGTTTAAGCTCTCAGTTGCAGATTCGGAGTCCTCGCCTATGGCCCCGCAGGAAGACGCAGCGGGGCATGATCCAGGCGTGGGAAGGGAGCCGCCCGCAAGCTGCCCGCGAGCTCTAGTGTCTTTTTGAAGCAGACAGGGCCAGAGAGCTTTTATTCTCTTCCTTTTCTGAAAGGAGAGTGAATGAGCTGACAGCTTCTGCTTTCTGCGGGCCAGAGTGTGGACTGGGTCAGAGCCAAGGGGCGCAGCCCACCCCAGGTCCCCACCCCTCGGCTCTCCCCACCCGCCCGGCCTCCAGCCAGCTCCAGCACACGTCTTCCTTAGGGACGCCCTCCTCCCTCAAGCTCCTCCCTCGGGGCTCAGAGCCTTGGCCCTCCAGCCAAATAGGGGAGACCCCAAACAGCTGGCCAGGAAAGTACTAGAGTACAAGTCAGAGGTTCCTAGGACCCCCCTCCCCACGTTTCCCTACACAGGATGAAATGTACACATACTGAGTTATGAGCCAGAGAGGACCCCACTCGGTGTCCTCCTGAGCTGTCCCAGATCCGGAACATACCCTGTTCTGTCAAAACTCCCACCCACTTAGCAACCCGCTGGGATCCCCTTCCAGTGCAGGCTAAGATTTCAACTTAACAACTAATCGGCAATTTTTCTCGTTGCCAAGTCACAGAGGAAATGATCCAAGCTAATCTGCTACCTTGACCCTGGACAAGTCTCTTCATCTGCGGGATGGGGTGACTGGATCAAATGCCTGGGAGGCCTTCTGTGGCTGCAGGCCAGTGCCTGCGCCTGCGTTCCTACTTTCAAACCCCATCTCTCTTAGTTCACCTCCATCTACAGCACACCAACAGCATGGAGAAGTCAGCCAGAGCAGGCCACGAGCACATGCGGTTCACTAACACAGGGTGCGTGTGCCTGTGTAGGTGTGTGTGTGTGTGTGTGGCCCGGGGGTCCATTCAGGTACTCACTTTCTCATCAGTGAGAGAGTGCCGCAGAGCAGGAGTAGCTAGGCATCTAGAGAATTCACCAGGATAACCCAGCCAAAATTCTTTACCTCTGGATTGAAACAGACCTCCTTACTCCATTCAGAAGGAATTTGGCCTCCCATATGAATGTCTCTTTGGCTGACAGCCAATCACATGTCTACAACAAAATGTCTGGATACCAGCTCACACCCTCTCCGCCCTCCCTCCACCTCACCCCCCTTGCATTGGGACCGAGCAGTCCCACCATCCCCAGGGTGTGAGGCCTGACTGAGATGGAAGCTCCAACGGACTTCACACCAGAAAAGCAGCTATCAAGACTTGATAGTGAGGGACATTAGTTTCTCCTTTTTGCTAGTGCAAATTTACAAATTTGTTGTCTTAAAACAACACAGACTTATTGTCTGATGTTTTGGAGAACAGAAACAGAATTCACTGGGCTGACACCAAAAAGTTGTGATTCTTTCTGGAAGTCTTACAACCTGTTTTCTGGCCTCTCTCAGCTTCAAGCTTCTAGAATTTTCTAGCTCCTAGATCTCCTGTCCTCAAAGCCAGCAATGGCTGGTTGAGTCTTACACCTGTAGTGCTTCTCGGACTTTTTTCTATCTTCCCTCTTCTCACCCTTTCTGACTGCACTGTGTATCACCCTCCTCATCAGTGGTCCTGTCTTGAGCTGATTAGCATCGCTGATACTTAAGTTCCCTTTGCTGTGCCGTATAGCATATTATGTCATGATAAGGAAGCCAGGGGACTGTCTCACGGAGCCTCTGTCCCCATCATGTACAGTAGACAGGAAGTTCACACCCTGAGCCAAAATTTAGCAGGAACCATGGCCTGCCAGATATGGATTTTTTTACAAGGGTAAAAATGACTTTAAGCTGAACTCTTTGTATGCATGTTCTTTTAGTTCTCTCTCTTTCTCTGTCTCTCTCTTTCTCACACACACACACACACACACACCTTGTACTCCTCCCTCTCTTCTTCTTCTTTCTTTTTCTTCTCTTAAGAACAACCAGATGTTTTCTGAAGACCAAAATCTTCTCCAGCTCCCATGCCTGGGAAAAGAGATCTGTTTCTTAAACAAGAAGTCAAAGTCTTGAGTCCTACTTATGTCAAGCCACTGTACTCTGGCTATGCAGATTAACTTCTTCCACTCTAATGCCATTTCCCTGATTCTCTTCCTCACCTATTTTCAAGACCATGCTAAGTCTGAATGTGGCCAGTAGCCCTCAAAGGCCTAAGGGTTAAAGCGAAACCTTCCCTCCTGTTTCTAAGGTAGTAGACTTGGAAGGCACTGTGCACATTCATGTGATGGGCCTTGTGTAAGAACTTCAGGTCAATGAGGGTCTGGAATCAAGAAAAAATATAGGATTCTCCTACTGGCTTGTGGTATGAGCCGTTTGTTCAGACATGTGCTTTTTACTCTGCCGCCTGATGACCTCACCACAGGTCCAAAGCTATGGACTGTGGTCCATACCATGAAGTCTTGGACTAAAATCTCAATTAAGCCTTTCTCCTGATAATTTTAAATTGCCCCGGGTAGATCACTGCAGTATGACAACTAATACAGGCCCTAACTAGAAACATCATTCATTCAGAAGTCTTCCAAGACTGAAAACTTGAAATCCATCCATAACCGCACTGAAGACTTTCCTTCTGTCAGCCCATTCAACCCTTTGTAGTCAGAGTCCTAGTCCTTCAGCTTCAGCCTGTGGACACTTCTTATCTCCCTCTCCATCTGAGGTTTTCAAACTCCCATATGCTCTGTCTAGCTTGTTTTCTTTTCTTTTCTTCTTCTTTTTTTTTTTTCCCAGTGATATACTATGACCTATGTTTTTAAACAAGCAACTTCAGGATTTCCTATTTTCCTCACCAAAATACACCTGTGTTCCTCTCCAACTGTTGCTCCCATCATTGTCCCCAATGGTGCCATCAGCAATTCATTTTTCCAAGCTTCACAGCGTGACTCTGAACAAGTACTCTGTTACTGGACTTACTTTTTTACATCTGTTTATTTAGTTATCTATTTCTCTATTTGTTTAATCACTTTACACCCTGATCCCAGCTCCCTCCCTCTTTTCCTCACGGTCCAGCCCTCACTTGCTCATCCCTCCACTCCCCCTCTCCTTCTCAGGAAAGGGAGGCTCCCAAGTGGTACCAACCCTCCCTGGAACCTCAGGTCTCAGCAGGATTAAATGTATCCTTACCCAGGTAGGGGAAGGGAATCCAGAGGCAGACAACAGAGTCAGAGACAGCCCTACTCCCACTGTTATGGGACCCATATGTTGACCAAGCTGTACATCTGCTACATATGTGTAGGGGGTCTAGGTCCAGGCTGTGCATGCTCTTTGGCTGGTGGTTCAGTCTCTGTGAACCCCCATGGGCCCGGGTTAGTTTACTCTATAGATCTTCTTGTGGTGTCTTTGACCCCTCTGAATCCCTCAATCCTTCCTCCCACTCTTCCACAAAACTCCTTGAGGTTGACTTATTGTTTGGCTGTGGATCTCTGCATCTGTTTCCATGAGCTGCTGGATGAAGCCTCTTGGAAGACAGTTATGCTAGGCTTCTATTAGCAAGCATAGCAGAGTATCATTAATAGTGTGAGGAGTTCGCTCTCTCTCATGGACTGGGTCTCAAGTTGGGCCAGTCATTGACTTCCCATTCTTTCAATCTCTGATCCATTTTACTCCTATGTTTCTTCTATTCAAGACAAATTTTGGGTTTCAGGATTTATGGGTGGCTTGTTGTTCTCCTCCTTCCCCTAAAGGTCCCACCTGGCTACAGGAGATGGCAGTTCAGGTTCCTGAACCCCACTGCTAAGAGTCTCAGCTAAGTTCATCCCCAATAGATGCACAGGAGTCTCCCTTGTCTCAGAAATGTCCCCCACTGATGTCTGTCCTCTTTCCAGGTCCTCTACTCTAACCCCCTACCTTCCACTCTCCCCACAGCTTATCCGCACCCCTCTCGCACCCATATCCTTCCCTCCGTCTACTTCAGATGTCTATTTTATTTCCTTTCCTGAGTAAGATTCAAGCATCCTCTCTTGGGCCCTCCTTGGCTTCCTTGGGTCTATGGATTTAAGCATGGTTATCCTGTACTTTATGGCTAATACCCCTTATAAGTAAGTACACACCATGTGTGTCTTGCTGGGTCTTTGTTACCTCACTCAGGATGATCTATTCTAGTTTCTGAAAATTGCATATCACCTCTGTTTTTAATAGCTGAATAGTATTCCATTGTGTAAATGTGTCACATTTTCTTTATTCATTCTTCAGTTAAGGAACATTTAGGTTGTTTCCAGTTTCCAGCTATTACAGATAAAGCTGCTATGAACATGGTTGAGCAAGTATTCTTGTGGTATAGTGAAACAGCTTTTGGGTATATGCCCTGGAGTGGGATAGCTGGGTCTTAGGGTAGATCTATTCCTAATTTTCTGAGAAAGCACCAGATTGATTTCCACAGTGGTTGTACAAGTTTGCACTCCCACCAGCAATGGAGGAGTGTGGTCCTTGCTCCACATTCTCATTACCATGTGCTGTCAGTTGAGTTTTTTATCTTAGCCATCCTGATTAGTGTAAGATGGAATCTCAGGGACATTTTGCTTTGCATTTCCCTAATGACTAAGAATATTGAATGTTTTTTTAAGGGCTTCTCGCCATTCATTAGAAATTCCTCTGTTGAGAATTCTCTGTTTAACTCTGTATCCCATTTTTTAATTGGCTTATTTCTATTTGTTGGTATTAAATTTCTTTATATTTTGTATGTTAGTCCTCTGTTGAATGTATGACTGGTGAAGATCTTTTTCCATTCTACAAGCTGCCATTTTGTTCTATTGACAGTGTCCTTTGCTTTGCAGAAGTTTTTCAGTTTCATGAAGGCCCTTTTCTATCACCAAGTTCCTCCCACTCATTCCAGCTGAGTTTTCTTGAAGAAAAACCCTAATCATCCTCAACTTCTCTTCTGCTCAGTGGTGACTGGTGACTTGTTTTCTCTCTCTCTCTCTCTCACACACACACACACTACACACTACACACCACAAATCATGACTTGGCCCTAAGCATTGCAGATGATTATACCACAAGACACATTTTTC